GAAGAACTCAGTCTTCAGATCCTGAAATTAAAGAATCTTTTTAATATCCACCATCGGTCACTTCTTCCTGCTCCAGCATGTTCCACTTACCTTCTCAACCCACTTTATAAGAAAAGGAGAAACAACATCCCATATTGGATAGATCTGGAGGGGAGCTGCTCTTTTCTGCAAGCCCTGCTCACAGCTTAGGTCTCCCAGCAGCAACTCAAATCCCAGTTAGGAGGTTTTTGGGAGGGTCACAACAAGCCAGTGTGTAGGGCAGTGCATGAGCAGGCAGCTCCAGAGAGCACACTTGCCAGTCCCTTCCCATATTGCAGACAAGGCTCCCATGGGAAAGCTGGCAGGGCTTCACTCCTCACCAGGTTAAAAACTGCCAGCCTAAGCAGTAAGGGATTTAATCTGGACAGTAAGATTAAATTAACCAGTGGTTAATTGTGATTTCTCCAGTAGGCTGAAGAAATAATGGAGCGACAAAGGACACTGGTGAAATCAGTGAGTTGGGGCTCCAAAAACCATGCTCGACTGAGCTGGCTGTGCCAGGTGGAGGCAATTTGGAGCTCAGCTCTGCCTTGCCCTGTGCACCATCCGTCATGTTGGCACAACTCAGCTGGATCACTCCGTATCTGCCCCTCGGTTCTGCTGCTGGATCTCAGGAGAAAAGTCCCGTTGGGAAAGTCTTCCACCTCAGTGCTGCTGTTGTTTTCATTCCTCCTCCTTACAATACTCGGGGCTTATTGGGGCATAATTTTCTGCACCAGTAAACCACGCTCCGCTTACGCCTGACTCTGCCTGGGCTGGAGGATGTGTGGCTGTGCTTGCTGGGGCTCTCCTCGTTCCAGCAGACCCGATGTGACCGAGTGGCTTTTGTTGTTACAACAAGCACTCACCGAAAATTTCAGCTCTGTGTGTGTCTAAAGCTGTGTATGGAACCCACACCTGTGTCTGCCATGCCAGGAACCTGCCACTGCCGAGGCTGGTCGAGGTGTGGGGCATCTTCCTTGGGCAGGGGCTGTCACAGAATCCCAGGATGGTTTGGGCTAGAAGGGACCTTAAAGATCATCCAATTCCAACTGCTCTGCCCTGGGCAGGAACACCTTCCACTAGACCAGGTTTCTCCAAGCCCCGTCCAACCTGGCCTTGAACACTTCCAAGGATTGAGCAGCCACAGCTTCTCTGGGCAACCTGTGCCAGGGCCTCACCACCCTCACAGGGAAGAATTTATTCTGTATATCTCATCTAAATCCACCTCCTGTTCCCTGTCCTGCTTTTATCTTTTCACTGTTCCAGAAGTCTTCTGTGATGTTTTGGGGAGGAACATCTATTATACAGCATTTATTAATCCTTAACAAATCTCTCCAGCCTAATTATACAGCTCCAATTCAGGATATTATTCCACAATGGAAAAACAAGACATGGCATCTATGTATATTCAATGCCTGTGATTCCATTTCTTGCACATGAAGTGCTTCTGCCTTCAGGGACACAGGAATACTTTATAGTGATGACAAAAAAGTTTTTATCATATGAATATTTTGTCTTGTCTTTTTTCTTAATTGGGTAATTTAGCACTAAAAGATTAAAAGAAAGATCTAGTTTTAATGTCCTGCTTATGTCTTACCGATCTAGCTTTAACCCACCCTGCCTTTGAGTTTTATTATTTAGCTTTTAATGTTCAATATTTATTACAAAGTGAGATTAAAAGTTTTCCTTTATTGCTCAGTCCTACACAATAATTAAAGGAACACACATACAGTGCCAGGATTTCAGAGGACTCACTCCATTGCAATTCTGTCATATTTTCAATTGCTTTCAAATGCTTTCACAGCACATCCCATGCGGAAGTCACTAAAAGCAATGACTTTGAGCTTCAAGTGTCTCTTGGGAGAAAAGACATTTTGCACTGGAGGAAAAGTCAAAAAACAGAGGCATGAAGCGATTTGCCTAAAACCAAGAGGGAAATGAAAGCAGAACCAGTCATGTGCTGTAACCACAGCATTATCTTTCTACAGAGCTTCCCCACCTAAGAAAATAAAATATAACAGGGAAAGCAGCTGGAAGAAATTCCCATTACCCCTCCGGAATCAGTCATGCTGAGACTAGACGGACTAATTAGGCCGTGATTTGCCTCCACTGGCCCCAAAATGGCTTTGACACAAACAGTTTCACCAGTTCTCCACGATACATCCCAGCATCTTCTCTGGGGGTGTGTACAGGTTGCATCTTATTTTAGTCTCTACATTGTCCAAGTCAATCACTGTGCAGCTAATTACCACTGTGGCTACAGCCTTACTTAGGGATGTAATCCCACCTCAGTGGCAAGTAAATCCATGCATGTCATCCGGACAGCTCCTTACTCCAGCGAAATTCTCAGTGTAAATTGTGAATCTGATGGAAAGGTGAAACCAGATTCTGGTCTGTCAGTGCCTGCAGCTCCTGTTCCATCTCCTTCAAAGGCACCTGTGTTGCAGGAAACTTGCCTTCTCCTTGTATCTCCAGTATGACTCCTCAAAGAAGAGTCACTCTTTGAGGTTATTCCTGGCTAAAATCCCTCACGGTCCCTTCAGCATGAGAACTGGGATGTTCATTCATCTCACTAAGACATCGATGAACTACCTATGCCTCAAAGGCAAAATACAGGGAAAAAAGAATCCAACCTGATTATGGTACGGAATAATGAGCACTGAGGCATGTATTTATGACTGAGTTGCAGTTCAAAACCATGTCCTCAGGCTTAAACGCCTGTAACTCTGAATCTGCAGCTTGGAATCCCAGAGGGGCTGATTCAGCCTTCCTCATCCTAAAGCTGATATATTTAAATCTCATCAACCTTAGGGATTGATGTGGGTAATTTTGTGCAAGCCTGACTACAGCTGAACTGTGCACGTAGAAAATAAAGGTTACACAAGCTGGAAAGTCTCTTAGCCAATGTAACAGCACAAAAACTCTCTGAATAAACCAGCCTCTCTCGCTGCGTGGTTTCCTACACGTGCTCCTTCTGGAAAGAAATTTCTGAGCTGCAACACCATCTGCTTCATGTGGATATGCAAGAGCTGATGGCGCTTTTGGAAGAGTTGGCCAACATCTTGTGTTTGGCTCAGCTGTGGTGCAGCAGTCGCTGCCTCTTCCCTGCCTGCATGGGCATACATTGGCCCTGCAATGTGGTGGTGGGACAGGGTAGGACCAAGGCTTGGTCAGCATGGCTCATATAGTGCTGGTTTCTGAGCCCTGGCCCTGGTGCGTTGCTGCTGAGGCGGCAGTGTTTGTCAGCATGAGTTTACATCAATTTTCTGACTCCCTATGTTTCGCTAACACGTCCTGTGGCAGCTTCCACTCTGAATAATTATACTTGAATTCCACAATGTACATTTTGTGTAGTGCATGGAGCTCATGGGGTCACTCCTGCAGCTCCCGCAGTGCTGGGGCCATGCTGCTGGCCTGTAGCATCCCCATGGGCAGTGACACACCAGGTCCCTCTGGCAATCCAGGCTGGCTCCAAGGGCTTCTGGTTGCCCTCTGGGCCCCAGTGGAGCTGCCCTGGAGCCACCCTGGTTAGAGTGAACTGCTTGGAAAGTAGCCCAGCAGAGAAGGACCTCGGTGTGCTGGTTGACAGTGGCTGAACATGAGCCCAGGTGTGTCCGGGTGGCCAAGGGGCCAATGGCACCTGGCCTGTATCAGGATTAGTGTGGCAGCAGGACCAGAGAAGTGATTCTTCCCCTGTACTTGGCACTGGTGAGGCACCTCAAGTGCTATGTCCAGTTCTGGGCCCCTCACAGAAAACGGACATTAAGGAGCTGGAGCCTGTCCAGGGAAGGGCAATGGAGCTGCGGAAGGGGCTGGAGAGTCAGTCATGTGAGGAGCATATGAGGGAGCTGGGGGAGCTCAGCCTGGAGAAAAGGAGGCTCAGGGGGGACCTTCTCACTCTCCAATCCCTGACAGGAGCGTGGAGCCAGGTGGGAGTCGGGCTCTGCTCCCAGGGAACAAGGGACAAGAGAAAATGGCCACAAGTTGTGCCGGGGAAGGTTCAAGTTGGACATCGGGAGGAGTTTCGTCTTGGAAGGGGTTGTCAGGCATTGGAAGGGGCTGCCCAGGGAGGTGGAGGAGCCACCAGCCCTGGAGGTGTCCAAGGAACGACTGGACGTGGCACTCAATGCTCTGGTCCGGTTGACAAGGCGGGGGTCGGTCACACGTTGGACTCTGTGATCTCAGAGGTCTTTTCCAACCTCAAAGATTCCGTGATTCTGTAACTCCGTTCCCCCACGAGCGCTGCCCAGCGGCCCCGGGCGGTCCGCGGGCGGCGGGAGGCGGCGGCGGCTGAGCGTGACGGGGAAGGGCGGGAGCGAGCGGAGCCGCAGCGAGCAGCGACACTGGGCGGCGGCGCTCTCTCGCTGCGCAGCGCCCGCACGGCGAGCCCGGAGCGCCATGGCGGCCGGGCCGCGAGCCTCAGCACGTCGGCCGCTACCCCCAGCGGTGAGGGGCGGCGGGGCCCGGGGCCCGGGGCGGGCGGCTCCGCGGGGCGGCGGGGGCCGGGAGCGGGGCTGGGGCGGCCTGTGCTGGGCCGGGCGGGCGGCAGGCCGAGGGTGTCCGTGGGGGCCGGGCCGGGCTCGGCGGGAAGCCGCTTCCGCGCGCTGGGGCCGGGTGTGCCCGGGGCCGGCTGTCCCTGTCTCAGGGCCGGTGTGTGCGCCGGGCCGGGTGTTTGTCCTGTCCCGGGCGGGTCCCGACCTTGGCGCAGGGCGCTGTCCCCGCCGGTCGTTTCCCCCCGCGGGTCAGCGAACCCCGCGGGGAACGGGTTCGTTCCGTATCGGCCTGAGGTCACCGTTAGTTTTATTCCACCTTTGATGTGTAGGCTCCTCTGAAACCCCTCCGGCCAGGGGCTGGCCTTGCAGAGCTCCCTCGGGAATTCGGGGTAGTCCTTCCCTCCCTGCCTCCCGTTTGTCAGCAGTGCCCGCCCCTCGGGAAGGGTCGGGGCTCAGCTGGGCCCCCCGGTGTGACCCAGTTCTGGCCGGCGCCTTTCTGACATGGAGAATTCCTTACTTCAAGTGAGGGAGAAATCCTTCAAAGCAGCACACACAGCTCGCTCTTGCTGAACCGAGGCTCTCACAGTAAATCGCTGTGTTGTGACTTTTCCTCGGTAGCATTTCCAGCGTGGGTAGGCTCACTCTCGTCAAGAGTTCGAGATACACCCTCCCATGGGATGGAATACTTGTCTCATCTGACAGCTGGAGGTCTCTGTGTTTTTACATGCTGGAAATGTGAAATTAAGTAAAACTCAGGCTATTTTTTTTGGTTGTTCTGTGCTAAACAGATGTGTTCACTTACTATGGCAAATCTCTTTGTGTTGTTCTTGGAACTGGTAGGGACAAATAACCGGGTCTCTGCACTAATTGCCTTTCTCGGTGCAGTCCTGCCGTTGTTGTCGACCCTGACAAGTGTCTTCACAAAAGCCTTTTCCCAAGGGATCTAGCAGTGTGTCCCATCGCCTGGAGTTTGTGGGGATAGGTGATAGAATTGCTGAAGGACCCTGTTGCCTTGGTCTTTGGTCACCCTGTTCCTGGCTGATACACTCCTGGTTTCCTTAAAGAGGGCTGTGTAAAGCTGTTGTTTGCCCAGCTCCTGCTCACACCTCACAGACACAGAGCAGACTCATCTGTGGAGCGTAACCGTGCGTGGTGCTGCGGAGATTAGGGAGCCAGGCTGTGCCAGAGGATTTGCACTGCTAAAGACAAGCAGATAATGGAGGCCTGTGAAGCGACTGGTGTAACTGGAGCACAGAGTCAGATTTTCACATGTAAATGTATTCACTTCTGTGTAGCTCTTTAGAAATTGCTTTTCTTTCCTTGCCCTCTGCCAGAACCCAGGTATTCGTGTTGTGAGGTGTCTTATTGCTGAACTGGCTCCTAATGTTTGTGTTGCTCTGAAAAACCCTCTAAGCTGTAAAAATGCAGAGTTGGGGTTTAGATGAAGAGGAGATGAGAGTGTGGGAGTGTCTCTCTCTAGCATTGAATGTATCTGTTTTTCTTCCGTAGTTTGAAACTTATTGTGTGTGTGAATGTATGATAATGAATGTTGACAGACTAATAGTGAAGTGATAACTGTAAGGGCTAGAGGTGAATTCAGGACCCAGTAAGTAGGGGTAACCTGGAGAAATTCAGAACAAACTCATTAAATCCTTTAAATTATTGGATTATGAGGCAGTGGAAGAATTTTAGAACTTGGGTTTGTTGGGGTTTTTTTGAGTGATGGATGTAATGGATTAGTGGGTTTGGTTACACTCATAGGTGGTTCCTGTACAGGTAAATGTCCAAACATGCTGGGAACTTGTATCCTCGCTCCAGGAAGGGTTACTGGTGTGTCCGTGTGTGTGTAGGAGCAGCACTGGTGAGAAGTGGGCACTATTTGAACATGTACAAATATGTAAGATTCTTCAAGTGCCTGTATTTTCAGGGAAAAAAGGCGATAGTTAATGAGTATGATCTGAGAACAACAGAAATAGATAAACGAGTTTGAAACCTGTGTGTTTCCTCACCCACCCCTTCCTCAGCCTGTGCTGCCCTGTGGATGGGGGTTGGGAAGGTGGAAGTGTGGGCTGTGCCCCTCAGGAGCCCCTTCCCCACAAACTTACAACCTGTGTCCGTTCCCCAACGCGGGCAGTGCTCGAGGGCCGCTCACTGATTTATTTTCCAAAGCCAACTTTCTAACCTTGGGCTTTGTTCAGGCATTAGATAATCTGATAAAAAATAGCCTGCGATGGTGGCTTTGGGCGATGCGAGTCTGAGCTCACGAACTGAGGAAGTGCAGCTTGATGTACAATAAAGCTAAAACTTGGGAGAAGGGATTTCAGCTTCCCTGACCCCTTCCATGTGGAGCAGGGCTGGGGCAGGGTGACAGGGGCAGACAGCAGGCTGGATGCCAGGGCTGTGCTTGTGGAGGTGGGAGTGAGAGAGGTTTGGGAGGAAGGAGGGCTGCAGCCTGCCCTGGAAGTGTTGTCCCAGGCAGTGCTGTGTCCCAAAAAGGTACACTGTGTCCCACAAAGGGACACTGGGAGGCTGTTGTCATTTTGACCTGCCTTTGGGAAAGTTATACAGGGATTTTGTTGGAATTAGGGGTTTAAAGCCTTTTGAGCATAGCCCCTGGATTGTGAGTTCAGTGGCAGAACTGTATTTCATCCTCGGAATAGAAATTACCCTCCATTCTGGAAAAAATAGCCTAGCTTTAACAGGTTTATTTACACTCTGTGTTAGCCAGGCCTGCTTTTCACTTGAAGCATTCGAAAATAAATGCGAGGTGTATGAGTAATGTAAACCCACCTAGGAAATGGTGGGAGTGTTAAATAATGAAGACACATTCCTTTTTAAGTGCCATTTCTTCCTGTTCCACTTGTTGAAGGCTTACATAGATCATGAATCATTCCATAAAGGGAGGTGGCTATGGGAAAAATAGGGAAGAAAGATATTTCCATTTGTTTGTTTTTCTTTCAGTAATACTGTAGAAGATAGAATTCCTGAAGATAGAATGGGAATAGAGTTTAAATCCATGAAGGACCATAATGCTTCCTTACTATCTGGGAAGGCTGGAGTGGAACAGGGAGGCAGGTGTTAGTTGCTGCTTTGTGGCTACCTTAAGCTTGTATTTAAGTTTTTAACTAGGTGGGCACACAAATCAAAGCTAAAAAATAAGAATGTACCAAATCTTTTAATGTCAGCGGTTAGAATTAGAGGTGTCAGTGACTGTTTCCTCAGTGAGGTACTTTTAGTGTGCAGATCTGCTGGCTAAAGATAAGGATGGTAAGAAGACTTCCAGGGTAGGTTGTTTACACTGTTATTTATTAATTTATTTTAAATAGAAAAGGAGGTGTCCATTGACATAAAAAACAGTAAAGATTAAAAAAAAATTGTAGCATAAAATCACTTGCGGAGCTGCTGCTTTGGGGTTGTGATGAAGCTGTCCTGTGTCCAGCCTGGGCTGTGCTCAGGTGACTAAAGTCTGGTTGTTTTTTTTCTGAAACACTCACCTCTGTAGGCAATAGTACCTGTCAGGTGAGTTCACAAGGTTTTAGTGATTCTATGTGAAGAAGTAATTATAGAATTAAAACAAATTCTATCGCTAAAACTCAAAGGATGTGGGAAAGGCAGGGAAACAGTAGCAGTCCAGTGTCATCTCACAGCTTGTGTATGAGGAGTAAATAGCTTTGCATGCACACTTTTAAATAAAATATTATCTCAGGTGTCAGGATTGTGTTGCACTCTGAGTTGGGCTTATTTGGTGCCTTTTCACTCTTCACTAAAATTCAGTGGGACTCAGTAAACCCATTGGGAAGCGGCTGTAGGAGCAATCTCTGAGGGCTTTGGGTTGTTAAGTGGCTCCCAGAGGATGCTGTACCTCTTTAGGTGGGCTTGGCATCATGTCTTAAAAGCAGCCATACAGAAAGCAAGTATGAAAAGTTCTGTGTGTGTGAATTCTGATCCTTTGTCATTGGGACTACTGAGAAAAATTCAGTAATAAGATGTATCCAAGCATTCTGTTCCTTCCTCTTGTGAAATATTAAAATTTGGTAGATGATGGCACAATCAGATTTTTTTAACTTTCTTCATATGACAGTTTTTAAAAATGTGATATTTTAAAATGTTTAAAAGATCCAGAATTCTTTCTGTGATGCCTTAATGTCCAGAAAAATATTAATCTGATCCTGAATGTTGTCAGAAGGCCTTATGCTTTGTTAAGTGTGAGAAATTTAATTACAGCTATCTAAGATTAAAAGTTACTTCTTCCATATTAAGACCTTGAACACTCAAGTCTAAGACCAGTCTGAGTGCAGGTTTGTGCTGGCCCAAGTGCTTGTTTACAGTCTGTCCAGACCGGTCTAATTCCCCGTTTGAACAGAAAGGAGGGAATTACATTAGCGTGTTTCCCAGGACTGAGGAGTATTTCTTTGTTGTCAGGCCCTTGGCTGCAGTGAGTCAGAGAAGAACAGCATCCTTGTGAGCACAGGTTGTATTCTGACGGATGTAAAGTACGTTTTGGTTTGTGTTTTTACCTTGGTGGCTCCCAGGGTCATTGCAAACGTCCCCTCAGGTGGGTGTTCCTGCTGGTTTCTGCTCCATGTGTTCTCACTGTGCGCCAGGGAGCTGGTCCAGCTGGGGGAAAAAAAAGGTGGTTTTTTGGGGAAAAAAGTGAAGGCACAGTTTTCAGTCCTTTATTAAAATGGAGGAGTATTTCAGAATCACAGAATCATCGAGGTTGGAAAACTCTTCCAAGATCGAGTCCAACCTGTGACTGATCCCCACCTTGTCAACCAGACCAGAGCACTGAGTGCCACGTCCAGTCATTCCTTGAACACCTCCAGGGATGATGAATCCACCACCTCCCTGGGCAGCCCCTTCCAATGCCTGACAGCACTTTCCATGAAGAAAATCTCAGGTTGGCACAGGCCTTGGAGGCCACTTGCCAGAGCCAGGCTCTGCTCAGGGCCATGGGGAGAAGCGGTTTCCCAGCACGGCTCAGACAGGAGCATTGGCATCTCCCCGGGGCAGGGAGAAGCCTGGGGAGGGTTGGCTAGGCACAGCTGCCAAATGTGTCACCTAAGAAGTGCTCAGCACACCTCGTGCTGGGTGCAGGGAGCTGGGGCAGACACGCTCCTCAGGGCTGGCACTGCTCCAGGAGATCAGCTGGAAGTGCCTATGGGAGAAAACAGTTATTTGCTCATCAAGGAGAGGGCTGATGGGTGTGGGTTGGCTTGTCTAGTAGCTTATCATTATTCCTGCTGATTAATAAGCTGATACTACGTTATAGGAATCTGCAACAGCATTGGGCAAAAGTCAGGATTTCGAAGTGGGGTGCATTTAAAGTGAAGCATAAGTCAATAAAAGTAGTTCTCTTCAGAGTTGACAGCAACTTTAATTTGCTTCCAAAAGGCCAGGGATATGGAAGGAGAAGAGTCAGGAGTGTTGTGATGGGAATGAGTGTAACCCTTTTTGTGGGCAGGCTGGTGCCTTGCTGGAATACTGTCAAGTTTAGTAGCAATACACATTTCTATATATTTATTTATTTTAACATTTGGCTTGCAAAGGTTATGATTTCATAGTTCTGGAAAAAATCAGTCCTGTCACCTTGTAAAAAAAAATATTGATTTTCTTTCTGTCATTAGCCTAAATATCTACCTTTTTAATAATCTTGGAGAAACCATAGTAACAACAGAACTGAGATCTGGTGAGGGTTGTCTTCACTCTAGAAATCCTCTGTGGGATTTTTGTGCAGTTCTGTCCAGTGTGCCAGAACGTAAAGTAAGAACTGGAACACAGTAAACATTGATGATAAATGGCTAACTTAACACATTACTGTGATATATTGCTAAGGCCAAGCTTGTAGAAATGCTGATTTAAAGTAAAAATATTTACATGCAGACTAAGGACTTGGGGAAGGGGAATTTAAAGATCCAAAACTGTGTCAGCAGCCCATATGCTGACTTTAGGAAATTTGGAAGAATTAACCAGTGTATTTATTGGAAATGCTTTCTTCAAAGTTTACATGGAAATATTTCCAAACAGTTTGAACTTTCATGCTGCTGTGCTATGTGTATTTACATAGGATATGTCTCACTCAAGGGGAAGTGGCAGCCAGAGGTGATGTCCTGCTTAGTGCCAGGCTTCTGATGCTGGTTTTTGGAAAATAAATATCTCTGGATGTTCTGTCAGGCAGCTTTCTGTTGTTTTAGCAGTCACAGCCAAATTGTTTTTAATAACTGTATGCATGGCTGTAAAGACTATTGTATTGCCACAAATATCAGAATCTTGCTTTAAAAGCTAAAAAGATTCCATCAGTGAATCAAGGAAAGAATGACCCCACAGCCTCAGCTGAACAGACTGAAATCAAACACTGCTTTAACCAGGTTTTCCAGATTCTGAAGCCTCAGGAGTGGCCCAAAGGGGAATTCCTGGGAGCCGAGACTGGACCTGGAGCTGCACAGGGCAGGTGGGACACAGGAGGCCAGGGCAGCACAGCACTGCTGGCCCTGCAAGGCCTCATGAGTCATTCTTCCTGTCACATGAACCCTCCCTGCTCTGCTAAGAGGCACTTAGTTGAATTTTAGATGCCTGGAATCATTAAAATGGCTGGAAGGCATTTGTGTACCTTGTCCATTAGAAGAAAAATCTGTTTTTTATAACTGTAACCTCCTACAGCCTCGAGCTCAACTTTAGAAAGTAGCTACATTTTTTGTGTCATTACCTGAATAGTGATGTTTGAAGCCAGCAGTGAATTCAGCTGCTTTCTCCCACATGACATTGGTGGAAGAACATGTATTTTTACTATTGAAAGAAGAACCAGTGGTAGGAGTTAATATTCCACTCAGTTATCTGTGTCCTCTTTTGTTTCATCTCAGTGTTGTCACATGTAGTGCTTTCCTTCCCCCTCCTTGGTGACTGTGCTCTCAGCTTGTACATGTCTTCTTTCTTACAGACATGAGGGGTTTAATTTCTGCCACCCCCTCGCCTGCAGAGCAGGTAACACAGGGCATGTGGTATCCAGAGTGTCCCAGGTGTGCCAGAGCCTTTCCTCCTCTGTTAACAGACTGGGTCTTGCATAGGCAGAAGGAAAAAAGGCGAGAAGTGTGGGATTTTCATGGATAGACTGACAATAAGCATAGCGGAACGTTTTCTGTAAATTCATAGACTGCAAAGCTGGAAGAGTCACAGAATGGTTGGAGTAGGAAGGGACCTTAAAGCTCATCTTGTTCCACCCTGTGCCGTGGGCAAGGACACCTTCCACTATCCCAGGTTGCTCTAAGCCCCATCCAGCCTGGCCTTGAACACTTCCAGGGATGGGGCACTCACAGCTTCTCTGGGGAGAGACTGAACCAAGTAGTTTGACTGTGTGTTTCTCTGTCCCTTTGGTTGCCCCTCGTGCTCTGTGCAGGCTGCAGTAGTGCTGTCTCTTTTTTTAATTTTTAAAGCATATTTTAATAGACAATTACTTCACAAGTTAGTTTGCATTTTCTTCTAATGGCTGAGTGCCATGGGTTTATAAAATACGGCATTTTTGTTTCCTGGAAAGGGCTCATGCTGAGTGAGCTGGTTTGAGAAGACAAGGATGCGTTGCTGTGGTGGGAGTTGCTGCAGCTACTCCTGTCATTGCTTCGTGCCCTGAGGCTCATTAAAGCTGCAGGTGAGGCAGGTCCTGCCACCTCCACACCCATGTCCTCATTGCCAGGGCACAGGGAGGGATTATTTGCTGTGGTTCACATCTGGCCAGGGACCAGTGTTTCGGATGTCTCCCACTGGCAGCCACAGCTGCTCCTGGCGTAACACGGATTAAATTTTCATCTGGATCACTGAATTTCTCCTTCTTCAAGGAAGTGGCTCAGCTTTGTGTCATGTGAGGAGCTCTTATCCAGAAAGCTTGGGGCTGATCAGTACCCTTATTTTTTCTTACCTCTTCTGTTTGGAAAACGTGAATGGGGAGAGGCTGGCGGCTTGTTGTGACACGAGCAGGGTGAGCTCCAGCTGATGGTGAATCAGAGTGCAGGGCTGTGATGCTCTGTTGATTTGATACAGCTGGACAACGCTCCTGATTTTTTTCCAGCACTTCCCAGTGTTGTTTCCTCCCCTTTTCTCCTCTCAGGCAACCTCTTGGACCTGCCAGGAGAATCACTCGTATTGTCACCTGCTAAGCCCAGTCAAGACTTTCACAGAGGATGTGGATATGGTCTGATCTGGAACAGGCTATAGATTATAGACTTTCACTGGCAGAGGTTGCCCAGAGAAGTGTGCCTGCCCTATCCCTGGAGGTGTTCAAGGCCAGGCCGGACAGGGCTTGGAACATCCTGGTCAAGTGGAAGGTGTCCCTGCCCATGGCAGGGGGTTGAAATGAGATGAGCTTTAATGTCCCTTCCAACCCTAACAATCCTGGGATTCTGTAACCTTTGATCTTAGGCAGCAAAAGGAATGGAAACCCAAAACACAGTTGTATATCCAAAGTCTGCCTTTAGAAGTGTGAGCTGCTTGGGGTGTTTTCCCCTGATAAGATGTACAAGTGAAATAAGAACATAGCTCCACTCCCTCAACCCCTGAGTTAGGTCTGGAAGGACTTGAATGGCAACATGTCTTTCCAAAGGAAAGAAGGCAAAATGTCATGGATGGCTTCAGGAGCATTGGCTGGATGTGCAGGAGGGAAAGCTCAAGAAGATGTTGTTCAGTGGTGATTGCAAACAAGGGCAGTACCTCCTGCTCAGGGCAGTGGTTCAGTCCTAGGATGCTTTTTTGAGGTGAGTTGTTGTTCTGCAGACAACCTCAGCAACTTTGCTGCTGAGATGATGGAAAATGGAGAGAAGTTAAAAACGAGATGGCAGCTGTAGCCTCATTTCTGGTGTGTTCTGCTTTGAATTGTTGGCCTGGTACTGCTGCTTCCCTGATCAAAGCCAGCCTGGCACACCTGCCTCGTGCAAGTGACACTGTACCCGTGATAGCTCCGTGGTTATTTATACAGAGCCTGTGGGAAGCACAGTGCACAAAATAAACCATCTTCTTTTCAGTCATGCAGTGTGAAAGGTTGAAGGGAAATGGCAAGATTCATACTTACGTGCATCATTATGTAATGTATCCATGGAAAAACACTTCCTTAGCAAAGCCACAGGCAGCAATGGAGTCTTTTGTTGGGTATCTCACAGTATTTCTTTGACTAAAACACATGCAACTGCAGCTCCTAAGCAGTGGGAGCTTAGGAAGTGCCAGGGAAATGGAAAGGTACTGGAAAGCTGTGTGCTGTGCTTTATTGGAGTCCAGGTGTGTGATGAGAGGATTTAAAAACACATTAAAACCTAGATGGCATATTGATCATTCCAAGTGGGAGTGCTTCGGAGGGAGGCCGAGCAGCTGCTCAGTGTCCCGTGGTGCTGCAGAACTAGTCTCCTTCCAGAAGAGTCTGTTGTGTGCAATTAAAGCTGCAGGGGTGACGTGACAGCACTCAAGAACCCCCCTTAACCTCCTGTGTGTGGGTCTGTTCAGCTGCAGAATGAAGAGGAGCCAGGTGAGACTGCGCCGGTGGTGAGCGATGCCCCTCCGCCCTACAGCAGCATTTCTGCGGAGAACACAGGTAATTTACCTGCCAGGAAAGGGCTGGGCTTGCTCTGCTGTTGTTCATTGCTCTCCTCGTCGATGGCTGGCACTTCCCAAGCTGCAGGAATCAGAATTGATCCAGAGAGCCTTGTTGGTACTTGTGGTTTAGGAGATGCATTTTGGCTGTGTTTGTCTGATGTCATCCCATCAAGTGGTGTTCAAGTTACAGTTCACAGTGTTCTCAGTAAATTGAAGACAGTTAAAAATCAAAGTGCTATGAGGATTTGTGGTTCTCCTCTCATTATTTGGTGTTTGGATGATGCTGTGTCCCTTCCCAAAAGGACTTGTTACTTAAAAGCATTTAAAGAATTCACTCTTCCTGCACTTTCCACTAACTAAGGACTTGGTCATAAGAACTGTACTTCTGATTCATCCTCCTGTCGTGTCACTAATAACTTTAATAACCACTTTATAACTACTTGGATCTGGAAATACAACTATTTCTGAGTATCCAAATCAGGAGAGACACAGCAAGTGGTGTTGTTTTAAACATAAGTACAGCCAGGCATGTTCAGGTAGTGTTCTGTGGATTGCTTGACATCAGATAAGGTGCTCCCGTCCTTTTCACTTAATGTTTTAGGATGGCAAGAGGCTGGAAGGGTGGGGAGGGGACAGGAGAGGCATTGAGTTGTTTGAAGTCACCTGGAACACTTCTCGTTCACAACACGGTGTTTTTAAGGAACTGACAAGTTGCCTTCTCTGTAACTGTTTTTTTGTGCAGCTTATTTTGACTACAAGGATGAGTCAGGATTCCCGAAGCCGCCGTCGTACAACGTGGCCACCACACTGCCCACTTACGACGAGGCAGAGAGAACCAAGGCTGAGGCCACCATTCCCTTGGTTCCTGGGAGGGTGAGTGCACCTGCCTGCCTGGCTGTCCCAGCTTTTCTAGGGTAGAATTTCTTGTTTAACTCCTGCCCATCCCATGCCATGACTTTTTTTCTTTTGTGTTGGGGTTTTTTTTGTGTGTTTTTTAAACTTTCTGGGGCAGTGATATTACACACTCCTGAGAGCTCTGTGGCTATTTTTTTTTCTTTTTAATTTTCCTCTGAGCACTGTGATGATGTCAAACATCTCAGTAATACCAGCATGTGCTATCCAGATTAGCTTGGCAAGCTGACAGAGGGACTGTGCTGTAGTCCTATGCTCTGTCACTGGTTTTTGGGTTTTGGTTTTCTGTTTTTAAAAAGATTTAGGATTAATTCTTCAGCTGTCTGGCATGTCTACCCTTGATACTCCTGCTGTTTACTTAGTTGACTTTTCTGGAGGTCAGTGTAGCTGATACAAGGATGATAAAACCATTCTGTCAGAATTATTTCTTTTTGCTTTTTCAACATTATCTCTTGTTCAGCCCTTTTGTCCATCCCTGCTAGCATTAGGTGTCCACTGCTCATTGTACTTCTTCACAGAAGCCAAATTCCTTGCTGAGATGATAATTTTTTGATGAGTAGAGGAATTCTTTACAGTGAGAAGGACATGCTGGATCTTGACTATGTTAAAAATAAATTTCATATTATGTAGATAAGATTTCATCCCCTGCATCATCTGAGGATGAGAAGCAGGAATTTTTTCCTGCTTGCATTTGTAGCCTTTTAGATTTAGAATTCCAGCCCTTTCTTGAAGAGCCACATGCAGAACTGGGATTGCTGTATGGACTGGACTGACTTAAATCTCCCCATGTGGTGTTTCCCTCTGATTTGCAGGATGATGACTTTGTGACACGGGATGACTTTGATGACACTGACCAGCTGAGGATAGGAAATGATGGCATTTTCATGCTCACCTTCTTCAGTAAGTACATTATGGAATGAATTTCTTTTGAAGCAGTGACACAAAATAGTTTGGTTCACACTTATGTTTATATAGCACCAGGAAAAAACTGTGTGCAAGGTGTTTATGATTTTTTTTCTCTTGGAATATAAAGGTGGCTTGACCTGCTGCTTTTCTCCTGCTTTTTCAGTGGCATTCCTCTTCAACTGGATTGGATTTTTCTTGTCTTTCTGTCTGACTACTTCAGCTGCAGGACGATATGGGGCCATTTCTGGGTTTGGTCTGTCTCTTATTAAGTGGATCCTTATTGTCAGGGTAAGTTGTGTGGTGCAAAACAAGGTGCACAGACACCGATACTCTTTTCAGCCAGCTTGTTTTTATCTCCTTTATGTTGAAGTTAGTGATAAATTTAGTTTTTAAAAATGAAATAATTTTTGAACCACTTATTCTCTAAGAACAGAGCTTTTTCATAATTCTTTCCTGTTTCTGTGCTGAAAGTATTATTATAGTAAAAGAAAATACAGATTGCACGCTCAGGTATGTGTTGTGGATGTTCCATCCCTGGAAGTGTTTAAGGTCAGGCTGAAGAGGGCTTGGAGTGACCTGATCTAATGGAATGTGTCCCTGCCCGTGGCAGGGAGGTGGGAAGAGATGAGCTTTAAGGTCCCTTCCAACCCAAACCATTCTGAGGTTCGTTCTAAATGTGGCTTTCTCTGACAGAGCTGCTGTGTTGGATGTGGTTGTGTGTTGAGCAGCAGCAATGATCTGATCTGTGTAAGACCTTTACCCAGGTAAAGCCAGCCCTGCCATCAGCACAGGGATGTGCCTCTCCAGTCTCATTTCCTTAGGCTTTCCTGTGGAAATAAATGAATTCTGTAAAATGTGGGATAGCTGATGAGGAGAGTCGCAGTGGGAGAAGCCCTCTGGTGCCCTCTGGTGCGGAGTCCCTGCGGCACAAGAGGAGGGAACCAGGACGGAGCTGCTGTTCTGTTCAACTGTGTATTTTTGGAGGGATTGTGAGAAAATATTTCCATCGGGAAGTTACTTGGAGTCCGTGAAATGATGGCACACAGGCATCCCAGGCTGAAAGGCTGAATTTCAGGCAAAGAACGTTGTTAGCTGTGCATAAGTAGAAGTAGAGAGCATTAGTGTTAGGCTGTCACTTCATACCTAATGTTTTGGGGCTGGGAATTCTAATTTGTAAATACAGTATCTGTTAACTTTTTCTGTAGACAGTGAAGCTTTTCGGGGCCATCTTTTAACAGTGGTGTTAAGAATTGTTTGCTGGATTAAGAGATGTGACAGAAAGAGGAACATTAACTGCGGATTTGATTTAAACTTTGATAACAAGTTTACATTTTGTTAGGTTCTTAGACTTGAATAGAATAATAATAAAGAAATTATACTGTATTTTCCACTGGCACAGTGAACTTCAGTGCTCTAATAGTGTTGGCAGTAATTTTCCCAATAGAAAATCATGTCAGAGGGTTCCACAGATCTGGGATTTCACTTCAATGGCTATACCATCCAGCCTTACAGTGTAATGAACATGGTGCACTGCTGCAAGCTTGGTCTTCCCTGTCAGAAATTGCAGCTGTGGTTTATGAGCATCAAGGACACAAGTTAAATTAGGAATATTTGCCCAGTAGTGCCCTTGAGCTCCACTGATTGCCAGAGTTTATGGCTGAGTATTGAATCTGTCCCGTTCCCCTTGTTAGAGTTGGTGTGATGTGTATAGAAAACCAATAAATAACAGTTTGTGGAGGTAACTCGTTCCCTGCAGTCTGTGCAGCTGGTGAAATGCAGCATTCCATGTGGTCTCCTGTGTGCAGTGTTGGTCTGGTTATTGCTGAAATAAGTGGGAATAGATTTGGATTCAGAAATTTCCATGTACTCTAACCTTTATCTTTTTTGTTTGGTTGGTTTTCAGTTCTCCACCTATTTTCCCGGTTACTTTGATGGTCAGTATTGGCTTTGGTGGGTCTTCCTTGTACTAGGTGAGTGTTTGCAGGGGAAGATGCTTAAAAACTCTGTAAGTGCAGTTAGGATTTTGTGAGCACAGCTTTCCTGGCTGTTAAATATGTGTGTGTGTAGATGTACAGCTGAATTGTCACCCTCATCTTACTAAATGCCTTCAGGTTTTAAAGGCAAGTAAGCACTGTCCTTCTGCTGCCATTTCTTGGTGGCAGCATCCTGATTACCATCCAGAAGAGGTAAAGAAAAGAACAGTGCTTGTAACTGATGCTGTATCTGTTTTATATCTTAAATGGAAGTGTAGGTTGTTGTTTTCCTGGTTTTAATTTCTTTATCCTGCTTTGGGAGTGACTGGATCTCATTTGTAGTCAAAAATTTTGTGATTGCCCAAGGGAAGTTTGGTTTTGAAATTGCCTGAAATGGAAAGATTAGATGCCATTGCTACCAACAATAATTATTGTATGTAATCAGCTCTTGTGCATCCCAGGGATGAGGTCCCTCTATACTAGTAATGGGGAGTTCAACTGTTCCCTCTCTCACTGAAGAAGCAACACTATGTTAACTGGACAAATGTCTTTTCCCTCCAGGTTTTCTGCTGTTTCTCAGAGGATTTATTAATTATGCAAAGGTTAGGAAGATGCCAGACACTTTTTCCACTCTCCCCAGAACCAGAGTTCTCTTTATTTACTAAAGGTAAACTTTCTACTTTCCTGAATTTGTTCTGCTTTGTTTTTAACTCTATGTAGAAACATTTTTAGGCTAGACTTTTCTTTGCTTTAATATTTTTAGAACACAAGGCAGCAGGGAATAATTGTTTCCTGGTATCCCATACCCAGCTCTTGTGTCTGTGACTTGATGGGGAGCAGAGGAATACTTGACATTTCTCCCTGAGTTTTTACTGTGAGGAATTGTATATTCATTTAATTCCATGACTAGATATTGCAAGAGCAGTCTTTCCCCTTGGTATTACACTGTGTTTGGCAAATGTGTCTTTCAGAATTAATCACATGCTTGAAACATGTGATGTGTCCTAAACATGAGGAAAGGTCACAAAATGTTGTTAGAGGGAGGTGCCAGTGCCTTTGGCTTTTGGCACAGAAAGAGCAATTTGTCTGAATTCTGCCTGCTGTTTGAAATTGCTGCCAAGTTCCTGAAGAAATTACACTCTTGCACATCTTTGCTCTCCAAAAACCCCTCCCACCTGAACACACTGTCCTGCCTGAGCATCTTTCAGAAACCTGAGTGCCTGCAAGTCTTTTGCTTTAATGCTGAACTTCAGCCTTGCTGCCTTAATGGGGCTTTAAAGGAGGAGGCTTAAGTAGCTGAACCCTTGTAGCATAATTTCCTGCTCACAGCAGATAATGGCCTGGCATTAACTGTCCCTCCCTGAGGGGAAGGAAATCCTGGAATAAGTTGCTTCCCAGCTGGGGAATGCAACACGATGCTTCCTTTAGAAATATGGTAATAACACTCCCATTTCCCCAAGACAGAAGAAATTGCAGCTGGGCCAGTGGTATAAAGAAACCAAACCAACCCCCGCTTCAAATTGGGGGTCATTAAATTGTTCAGATTTTAAAACTGAGCCTTGATTTTCCAAATGTGCTTTCCTTTTATTAGGAACTGCAAATTGCCTAAGATTCTGCTTCATTTCTAGTCTGTAAGGAGAACCTGCAGCACAGAACAGCCTTTGTGCAGTGTTTTCCACTGGTGATAGTGTGTAAAAATAGTTCAGTCAATTTATTTACGGGTTTGAGTTCTGTTTAACAAAGTTCTGGTTTATGACCTCCTCCAGGATTTGTAATATCCTCTCTGATTCCTGCTGAGTCACCAGAGGGTTTATTTGCCCCAGTTGTATGGTCACGTAGTGTGAGCGTTTAAAATCAGCTTTATCATCTGTAGTTTGCCTCACTGAACATTTTTTTTAAGTTTTGCTTCTTTACCAAAACTTTATTTTCCATTTATTGAGGGAACTGTATGATTTCTTGTTGCACGGACTTTTCCTGTGTTTGGAATTTGAAATTACAATTTTAGAGACCTTGCTTCACTCCTTGCTACTGAGGATGGAGGTGTAAAGTGTTTAAATTCTTATTTATGTGTCATTTTAGAGCTTTCAAAAAGCACTTTCTCTTTTTGATATACTGAGATAAATGTCCAGAATAATTAATAAATATTACAACTTTAGCAATTCCCCTGAAAATAAATCTTTAATCCTAAATTCTGAGTGAGGAAACCGCAAAAGACTTGGATTTTTAGTGTATTCTTGTTCTGAAGATGAGATTTCTTCTGCGGGGCACGATGAGAAGGGGACGGTGAATGAGCATTTTAATGTTAGAGCAGGAATCATTTTTAGAAAATTAGGAGGGGAGTAATTAGTGCAAACCATAAAATACAGCCTGGTGAAATGAATCCAATGGGAAGCTGGTGTTCACTGTTCCACCTGTGTGTGCAATAATGGACATGATCCTGGCATTATCCCATAAAATATGCACAGACTCCTGAGCACTTTGCTGGAGTCATGCCATTGTGTGCTGAGATACTTCATAAGTCTTTAGACATCCTGTGCTCTGTGTGAACGACATCCTTCTGTTTTCCAAAATAACACTCTGACTATAGTTTCGGTGTTCAATATCCTTCTCCGACAGATGTTTTCTGGCAAATGTCTTCCTGCATTAGTGAATTCCCCCCCCAAGAAGCAGCAGGACACCTGCAGGAAGTGAATCAAGGCTCTGGAGCAGAAGAAAAAATAATCACCTGCTTTAAAATAAATAAATAAAAGTACTGTTGGAAAAAGAAAAAAGGAGAAGCATTTCTTTCTATTTGTTTTTAGGTGTACAATTTTAATAATTAACGCAGAATTCTGTAATTGTTGAATCATTAGTGGCTAATGTTTGAAACAGCTATTGCAGTCGAGTCTGTGACGTGCTAATAAAGCCTTACAGCGATAGTTTGTTGTGATTTGGTAGCATGAGCCGTCCCCGGAGCCAGCAGGGGCCAGGCTTGCTTTATTTCCTCCTCCAGCCTGGGAGCTGCTTGGGCTCTGTGTGTGCTGTACAGCCCATGTGTGCCGTGTGCCACATCCTGTGCAGCCTGTGTAACACTATGTCCTGTGCAGCCTGTGTAACACCGTGTCCTGTACAGCCTGTGTAACACCACAGGCTGTGTAACATCACGTCCTGTACAGCCCATGTACACCGTGTCCTGTACAGGCTGTGTCACACCGTGTCCTTTACAGCCCATGTACAGTGTCCTGTGTAACACTGTGTCCTGTACAATCCAGTTATGCCTCAGCCTGTACAGCCCGTGTATACCATGTCCTGTACAGCCTGTGTGCTCTGTGTCCTGTACAGCCCACATGTCCTGTACAGCCTGTGTGCAGTGTATTCTCTACAGCCCGTGTACACCATGTCCTGTACAGCCCGTGTGCTCTGTGTCCTGCACAGCCCACATGTCCTGTACAGCCTGTGTGCAGTGTATCCTGTACAGCCCGTGTACACCATGTCCTGTACAGCCCGTGTACACCATGTCCTGTACAGCCCGTGTGCTCTGTGTCCTGTACAGCCGACGTAACACCATGTCCTGTACAGTCCCGTTATGTCACAGCCTGCACAGGCCGTGTGTGCCATGTCCTGTACAACCCACACAAGGCCATGTGCTGTACAGCCCATGTACACTGTGTCCTGTACATCCCCTGTATGCAGTGTCCTGTACAGCCCAGATAACACCATGTGCTGTACAGCCCATGTAACACCACACCCTGTACAGCCTGTGTGTGCAGTGTCCTGTCCTGTACAGTCCGTGTACCCTGCCTACACCCTGTCCTGTCCAGCCCCTGTACACCATGTCTGTACAGCCCCCACACACCAGGTCCTGTCCAGCCCACATCCACTGTGTCCTGTCCTGTCCTGTCCTGTCCTGTCCTGTCCAGCCGCGCGCGCCGGCGGCGAAGGGATGATCTCAAAAGCTGAAGCGACAGCACCGCGGTGGCTGCACACCTGCCATCCAGCAGCACCTGTGCTGCCTTTGGAGGAAAAGGCATCGCTGTGGTCCGGGTTCCAAGGTGTCAGAGGAGGGAGGATTACTTAGAGGTGGCACAAGTATTAATTTTTAACTGTGTATATTCTCGGTGTTGTCCTAAACTTTCCTTTCGCACTACCTACTTTTTTGGGCTATCCGGGGGTTTTCATGGAACACTTTGGTAGTGTAAAACTGAAAGATCACGTTGCAACTTTGTATAAAAAATTATCTTGCAAAGGCCTTTTTTTTTTCCTTTGGCTTGGGACTTTTGAGACAATTCCTAACATACCTGTAATTCCTGCTTTTATAATTTGTGTTAGCAGAGACTGATGCGTCCGAAATGTAGATTTAATGTGCACTCCTGTGCTTTCTGCCAAGTGGTAATTCACTTTGGAATTTTACTATGTTCAACCTGTAAATACAGCAGAACGTTAATAAATGTCACTTCTGTAGCAATTTTTGCCGTAGGACAGTGTTTAATTGACTTTTGATTCGTTATTTTACCTGGTTATCAATGACAAGTGCGGATTGTCTGGGGAATTCCATCACTTTTCCACAGGAGGTGTAATACAGACTTCCACTTCAATGTGTCCATTTTCTTTTTTGTAACCAAGCAATGCCAGCCTCTCAGGAAATGGTGACTCAATTTTGGGGGGTTTCTTGGATTTTTTGGTAGTTTCATGACTTATCTGCCTTGTGAAACTTTGGTTTTGGTTCATGGCTGAACATCTCAAATGCACAGTCCCCACAAACAAGCAGCTGGGGCTGACAGAGACAGATGGAGGTTCCACAGATTTCTCTTCAAACAGGAGTAAGTGAATACAGAATTAGGAATTTTATCCTGCAAGGCAAAATCTGCAGCATTGGGGAGCTCTGAATCACATTTGCCCAAACTTGGTCGATCAGCCTTGTGTTTGCTCTCCTGGCATCTGGGCCTTATTTGGGCTTGTATATTCAGAGAACTGGAATATTTGGCATTCCTATTTCTCCTCCTTCAGTGGCCTGAAGCTGCAGACACCTACAGCTCCATGTTCCTCCGCAGACAGCGGTTCTGGATGCACCTGGAGGGATGGGTGGGTGGCGGGGTCTGGAGAAGCCACGTTTGGTTTGGTATGTGTTAACACCAACTCCAAACTCAAGTAGTTATTTTGGGTCTGTGACAGCTCAGCCACTTTACATGACCTACGTGGCAGGTCTGTGGTCACCTGCAGTGACCATGCCTTTGGCCTTCTTGCTGGCACCTTGTCAGCCAGGTGGGGGGATGGAAGCTTTGAGGGCAGACACACCTGTGGAGTGTCTGTGCCATGGTGGGAAGAGAGCTCAGACAGCCACGAGGCTATTGACAAAGCCCTGGAGTGACAGGAAAAGGGGGAATTGCTTTAAACTGACAGAGGGCAGATGGGATACTGGGTAGAAATTCTTCCCTGTGAGAGTGGTGAGGCACTGGCACAGATTGCACAGAGTGGTGAGGCACTGGCACAGATTGCCCAGAGAAGCTGTGGCTGCCACATCTCTGGAAGTGTTCAAGGCCACTTGGATGGGACTTGGAGCAACTTGGGATAGTGGAAGGTGTCCCTGCAGGGGTTTGAAACTGGATGAGCTTTAAGGTCATTTCCAAGCCAAATCAGTAGGAAGCACATCTTGAGATCTTATTTCCAGTTCCCATGAAAGAAAAAACGGAACCCAAGGGGAGAAGGCTCAGCTAAAGGGAGAACAGCATGTTCTGGAGGAAATCAAATGTGCCTAAGGAGAAGGTAGGAGCACCACAGAGGAAAGGAGTGGGATCTGCCCATTGTTGGTGCTCTTCTGCCTGTTCCAGTGGGAGCTCCAGAGGAAAGATTGGTGATAATTGTCCAGGTCATCCATGTGAAAGAGAGGATTATGCTGAGAAATAAAACCAGTCCATGGGAGACTTCCCAGTTACTTAAAACAGATGTTTCCCCCTCTCCTCTTGCTCTAGCTAATACAGTTATATTTCCAAGAAGTTGATAAATATTGCTAGATTTAGGAATGATTTTTCTAAACCGTTAGGCTTTACTGCAGAAGTCGTTTCTCACAAGAGAAACGCTCCAATGAATTAAACACTTTGGCCACACAAAGCCAAGGACTGACTCATGTTCAGTGGCTTCATTAGTGGAAGTGATTCACGGGCTGGATTGCTGTGACCTCTCCTTGGGGTTGGTGCACTCTGCTCCTCTCACATCTATGTGATGGCCAAGGGGACAGCCGGAGATCCTGGAGCAGGGGCTGGTGGGAAACACCTGAGAGGGCCAGAAAACATAACTCGGTCAGAAGCTCAGCCTATGCCCAGGGGGGTTGTGGGAACTGGTGCTGTCTTTTCATGTTACAGAGTTAAGTTTTCATAGTACCTACTGTTGTTTTCATTGCCTCGTGTTTAAAAGATGGCATTGCTTTCATGGGAAGGAAAGAGAAACAAATGTGTTTGAAAATACATACAATATTCCAAAACCAGTAGCAGTTGGATTAAGGAACCTATTTAAAAACTCCTTGAACATGGAACATTTACAAGGGCTGTTTTAGTGGTGATACCTGTTATTAATCAAATAAAACACAACACAGTAGGTACTGGCAGGGTTGTTGTGCTCCCCCCTGAATGGGGGTCCTCTGAATGCCCGAATCCATTGCTCAGCTGGTCTGTCACCCCATCCCATTTCAGCTCAGGATGGAGATGCTGTGCTGATCAGGATGAGGATTTCCATTCTACCTTTTTTTTTCTGAAATTTCTGTGGAATAAACAAAAGCCCGTCAGGGAAGGGAATTACCATAACACAAGGGCTTAGTCACCATACGTAATAAATCAATCACAGAATGTATCCTAGAAACTGATTTCGAGTCATAGGACTTACATGGACACAAGTCCCATTTTGCTGAACTTAAAATATGTTAATAAAACGTCATAGCAATGGATATAACAATAAAGCAAAAGGCAGGGATCTCTGCCCAGGCTTTGGAGTGTAAGGAAGGGTCTGTGCCAGGAGTCAAAGTGCACCGTGTCCCAGGGAGTGAAACACAGTCCATGTCCCAGGGCCAAGTGCAGCGAAGTACAACAGTGCTGTGGACTTGCTTTTAAAAAAATTGACTTAATAGAAGCTATGCCAAGTAGGAAATCGGTGTTTCCAAAATATCCATCACCCCTCAGTGAGCTCTAATGGGCCACTGAACTGTAACCTCAGGTGTTTTTCACTGGAGCCATCTGGGCACCGGATGGTCCTTGGAGATGGTCCTTGGAGCATCCTTTGGGCACTGGTGGGTGGTGTGTGAGGTGGTGGGTGAGGGCAGTGTGACTCCTGCCTGTGGGCATCGTCCTGGAGCACTGTCACCGCTGGGTCTGGAGGCAGCACTAGGGGCTTAGTGGACCAAAATGCCCCATACCACAGTCACACAGCACATGGACAAAGTAGGTGGCAGATTGGAGAACAATGGGAAGAAAAACCCATCTTTGACCAGATTTTGTGTTTGTTTTTGTTGTTGCTTTAACTGAAGTGGTCGGAGCGCGGTAATTAAAGGCTCAGTGGCTCTAATTGGAATAGGTTTAAACTCGAGGTCAAAATCCCTTCTGGCACTTCCTCTGCCTAATAACCATCAACAGAAATCAAACAAATCCAACCGGCTCCAGCCCCTAATCTGCGACCAGCAAAGGTCGTGGTGGTGATAAGGGAGCGAGGCAGCCACAGACAGCCCTGAGTGGGAACACGGTCCCATGGGCCCAACAGCCAGTGCTGAGGCACAACTGGGACACAATGGACACATGTTGGTGCTGGG